TGTTCTGGGTAAGCCCCACTCTGAAGGCAATCGAATGCAACTTTACCTTTCCCTCCCAACTTTCCTTTAGTGTACTCCAGGTGGGAATTATTCCCCTCTTTGGATGAAAATCCAGCAGACCCAATGACTTTCTTCTTCCTCTTAGGTGACACACAGTTTTAAAATCACTTGAAGTCAGCATTTCAAATTCAGGAATTGAATGTCCCGTTCAATACATTAATCAACAAGCCAAACATGGTTTAGCCAGAGTCAAATCTTCTCCCTTCCCAGAGTGGGCCTCTTTAGCAGGAAGCCTGCACTGGGAAAAGAAGCATAGGGTTGGCCTCTCCTCCCCACTGTCCTCCTGGAGCTGTTGGTTTAGAAGCCAGGGCAGGAGGGCTGAAGCCATAATATGTCTCCTATTTGAGTAGACATCACAGTGGGTACTGACTTCAGGCTCTCTGGGCCTGGAGTATGCTTAGCTCTGACTCTCTCTCATGGGGAATCTCTGGAGATTCCCATTATGGGGCTAGAATTCCCATCATTTGATTCTCCCTGCTTGATTGAAGCTATTCCCATCACTGGAGCGTGGGAGTTTGAGACCAGCCTTGGCAACATGGTGAAACCCCCATAGCCACAAATAAAAAATTAGCCAGACGCGTTGGTGCATGACTGTAGTCCCAGCTGCTTGGGAGGCTGAGGAGGGAGGATTGCTTGAGCCTGAGAGGTCGAGGCTGCAGTGAGCCCTGATGACGCCACTGCAATTCAGCCTGGTGACAGAGCAAGACCCTGTCTCAAAAATTAAAAATAATCATGTGGAGCTAGCTACGGTAGTTCATGACTATAGTCCCAGCTGCTTGAGAGGCTAAGGCAGGAGTACCACTTGAGCCTAGTAGTTTGAGGCTGCAGTGAGCTGTGATTGTGTCACTGTCACTCCAGTCTGGTGACAGAGACCCTGCCTCTTAAAAAACATAATAATACTAATGATAATATGGATTCCTGTTTTGTAAGTGTAGAAAATGCCATGAGATATTTTTAAGTGGGCTGTGCCTGTACAGCTGATTTGAACTCCTTCCTATCACTGTATAGCTAACGCTTTAAAGCAGGTTTTCTTTAGCGATGGCTCAGGCATTGGCAGGGGCTACATGGATGAGTTTCTAAAATTATATGCAAAATTATGTTTGTGCTTTTATGGAATCACTTCTGGGAAGAGAACTCACAGGTTTCAATAGATTCTCAGAGGTGCTATGAACCATAAAAGGTTGTAAAACATGTCGGGGGAACTTTTCCAATTAAAGCACAGGACATATTTTCCATATAAGCCTTAAGCAAACTTTTTTTAAAAACATTGCCGCGGTATGACATAGAGATGGGACTGTCCAGCCAATACATTCATTATGGACTGTGATTGATTATTCCTCTAAGCTTTAGTTTCATCATTTGTAAAATGACAATTTATTATCAATGTTCCTTTCTCCCCAAATTCTGATTCTGTTAAGAAATGGAAAATGTCTAGGTGTTGAGGAAAACTGTAGAGTGTGCTGCAAATTCCTACTTTGATGCTGAGCCCACAGACCAGTATATTAACATATTAACAGTATAATCTCCTCTCTCTCTCTCTCTCTCTCTCTCTCTCTCTCTCTCTCTCTCACACACACACACACACACACACACACACAGTAATAGAGTCGTTCAGAGAAACAGAACCAATAGAATGTATACATATATGGAAGCAGATTATCATAAGGAATTGACTAATGTAATTATGAAGACCAAAAAGTCCCAAGATCTGCAGTTAGCAAGCAGAAGATCCAAGAGAACCACTGGTGTGGTTCTAGTCCAAAGGCCAGCAGGCTCAATACCCTGGAGAGCTAGTGTCTCTGTCTGAGTTGGAAGTCAGGGAAAAACCCGTATTCCCACTTGAAGGCAGTTAGGCAGGAAGAATTCCCTGTTATTCAAGCTTTTTGTTCTATTCAGACCTTCAATTGATTGGATGAGGCCCACTCACATTAGGGAGAGCAACCAGTTTTACTCAGTCTACTGACTCAAAGGGTTAACCTCATCCAGAAACACCATCACACACACTCTCGCGCGTGCGCGCACGCGCGCGCGCACACACACACACACACACGCAATAATGTTTCACCAAATACCTGGGCATCCTGGTGGCCCAATCAAGTTGACACATAAAATTAACTATCATACATATACATTCATATACTATAGACAGTTTATATTCCCCCCCGCCCCGATTCCCATGTTGAAACCAAATCCCCAACATGATGGTATTTGGAAATGTGGACTTTGGGAGGTGATCTGGTCATGAAGGCAAGCCCTCATGAATAAAATTAGTGCCATTACACTGGAGGTCCCTGAGAGCTGTGCCATGTGAAGATGCAGTAAGAATACAGGTATTGGCTGGGCACGGTGGTTCATGCCTGTAATCCCAGCACTTTGGGAGGCCAAGGTGAGTGGATCACCTGAGGTCAGGAGTTCGAGAACAGCCTGAACAACATGGAGAAACCCAATCTTTACTAAAAATGCAAAATTAGTTGGGCATGGTGGTGCACGCCTGTAATCCAGCTACTTGGAAGGCTGAGGCAGGAGAATTGCTTCTGGGAGGCGGAGTTGAGCTGAGATTGCGCCATTGTACTCCAGCCTGGGCAACAAGAATGAAACTCCAACTCAAAAAAAAAAAAAAAAAAAAAAAAAAAAAAAAAAAAAATACAAGTATCTGTGAACCAAGAAACAGGCCCTTCCTTTCCAGACACCGAATCTGCTGGTGCTTTAATCTTGGATTTTCCAGCCTCCAGAACTATCAGAAATAAATGTCTGTTGTTCATAAGCCACCCAGTCTATGGTATTCCGTCCTAGCAGCCTGAATGGGCTAAGACATATATTAATATATATACAGAGGAGACTTTTTTCTTTTTTTGAGACTGAGTCTCACTGTTTCACTCAGGCTGGAGTGCTGTGGCACAATCTCGGTCACTGTAACCTATGCCTCCTGGGTTCAAGCAATTCTTGTGCCTCATCCTCCTTAGTAGTTGGAAGTATAGGGCATGCAGCATGCCTGGATAATTTGTGTGTGTGTGTGTGTGCGTGTGTTTTTAGTAGAGACAGAGTTTGGGCATATTGGCCAGGCTGGTCTCGAACTCCTGACCTCAAGTGATCTTCCCACCTCAGCTTCCAACAGTGCTGGGATTACAGGTGTGAGCCACTGCACCGGGCCACTCACTACACTTTCATAATTAGAAAGATTAGTTTCCTCTTGAAAAAACAAATAGATTAGAAAACTAGTAGAAGTGGTTACAAAGTATAAAAGAGATAGTAAAATGATACAATGTGAGGAGTATACAAGAAAGATATTTAAAACAGACTTTTTGTTTGTTTGTTTGAAACAGAGTCTTACTCTGCTGCCCAGGCTGCAGTGCAGTGGCACAATCTCGGCTCACTGCAGACTCCGCCTCCTAGGCTCCAGAGATTCTCCTGCTTGTTGTTTGCCCTTGGGGATAACAGAAAGCACAAAATATAATTCTCAGTTGACACTGTACATTTCCCAGGCAGAGACGAGGGCGGTCTTGGTCCTTATTGTATGAACAGATCCAACTCCACCCTGACATGGAAACTGGATTTCCTGATATCTCCTTAAACAGGCCTTCAGTAGCCAGGTAGTCATGTTGAGCCTGAGTTTTGGTGTATCTTAAGTTAGTCTGGGCCTCTGTTTCCTTAACTCTAAAGTTGTTGAGAAATGTTAAGTTTATGAATATTGATGTTGAGAAATGTTAAGTTTATGAATATTGATGAATGCCGAGTGTATGACAGAATATATCGTTTGCTAGGAAGAACGATGGCAAGGAAAACCAGCACACAGCCCCACCCCCCCCCCCCCCGCCAAGTAGAAAACTACTTGGGGCATTCCAAAGTGGCAGGACAATGTATAAATATCACAAACCGGTTACAGTTCTTTAAGAACCTGCCCCCGTGGCTCCCTCACGGAGAATACTTTTTAGGTTGTGATCAGTTGTAAGCGGGCACCAGATGTCTACTTGGCGTGTTTTGTGTTATGAGAAAACACATAACACCTGTTTGTTAATAGTGATCACCTGTTCAGGGAGAATAAATGCATGGGTCAGAGTCTACTTGGGGCCTTCAGTCCGGAATGCTGTCCGGCCCCTGAGGCTCTCAGTTCAGAAGCCTATTGGCCACTGCCCTCCCCGCCTCTCACCCCCATAAGCCCACTTTGCTGTTCTATCTGGGTGTCTGCCTCTCAGTTCCTTCAGCGCCGCCTGGATGGGGGTCTCTATGGCCGAGCTGGTACTTGGTATAAAGTGAAGAGTTGGAATGAAGATTGTATTTAAACACCCTGGCTGGAAGCTGTGGTGCCCTGAATTCTCCCTCTTACTCCATCGTCTCAATACTGGCACACAGCCGACACTCAATAAAAGTAAATTTGTGGCTTCTGTCCAGTACTTGGCACTTAGAAGCCCTCAATAAATGACTATCAAGTTTATTTCATCTTCCCAGCACATTTGTGACAGTCTTGAGGGCGGGAACCATGTACTCAATAGGGCCCTGATGACAGAAGAGGAAATCGGCTTGGTCCCTATTCGTAGAAGTTCATAGGTTAGTGTGGGAGGCTAAGATAATAACTCGCCCATTTAAAGATATTTTTCCAAAGTCCGCATGTATTGGGTGGAAAAGGTGAGGCAAGCGTTGTATTTCCCAGACTCCCGACCAGGTTGCGAAATGATTGACGTCCGAGGGAGACCACCTCACCTTTTCATTGGTTGTAGCTGACCCTCCCTTCTATCACCTAACCATTCCCGACGGACGCCTCACTTAAGCCCCGCCTCCGGCTGCCAGCCAATCAGAAGTGCCGAGGACCGGGTCGCTGCCGGGACACTGACGCGGTTTCGATTCCAGCGAAAAATGCCTCAGCTCGGACTGTCTCGTGACAGGGGGTGCGAGGAGGACAGTCCCGCGCCCGCTGAGCCCTAGAGCCGCTGCCGCCGACTGTCATGGAGGACGAGCAGCCTGACAGCCTGGAGGGCTGGGTGCCGGTCCGAGAGGGCCTCTTCGCCGAGCCCGAGCGGCACCGGTTGCGCTTCCTGGTGGCCTGGAACGGCGCGGAGGGCAAGTTCGCTGTGACTTGTCACGACCGCACCGCGCAGCGGCGGTGGCGACGCGAGGGGGCCCAGCCCGAGCCCGAGCCCGAGCCCGAGCCCGAGGCCGCCATGTCCCCCCCAAGCTGGGCCGGCCTACTTTCGGCCGCGGGGTTCCGCGGCGCGCACCGGCAACTGGCGGCGCTATGGCCGCCTCTAGAGCGCTGCTTCCCGCGGCTGCCACCGGAGCTGGACGTAGGTGGCGGCGGCGGGGCCTGGGGCCTGGGTCTTGGGTTGTGGGCGCTGCTGTGGCCGGCGCGCGCGGGGCCCGGAGAGGCGGCGCTGCGGGAGTTGTGTGGACGGCTGGAGCGCTACCTGGGCGAGGCGGCAGACGGCTGCGGTGGCGCCACCGTGCGCGACGCGCTCTTCCCGGCTGAGGGCGGCGCGGCAGACTGCGAGAGCCTGCGCGAGTTCCGGGAACGGGCCCTGCGCGCGCGGTGGACCGAAGCGGACGCGCGGCTGCGCCAGGTAAGTGAGGTCGGGCCCAGTCTGCGCTGCCTAGGCTTGGGACCTTGTGGGAAGCTCCCCGGGCGCCCAGAGCCCGGGCTGCCAGCTGACGAGGAGGAGCCGGAGGGTGGAGAAGGCCGCGGGCTCCGCGGTGCTCTCACCTTCGCGGGACCGCTGTGCGAAACGGGCGGGAGCTCCGGGAGGGCCTGCAGAGAGGACGGACAAAGTTAGAGCCTAGTGTACTTGCAGCTCGGAGCTGGGCTAGGCTCCCAACCTTTGTCCTGGAGATGCTGGCAGAACAGGGTGTTGTAACGGGAAATGCCAGAAATATTGCAAGCAAAACTGTAAACAACCCATCCACGTAGGAAAGAATAACACGGACTAAATGTAAGCGTTCCAAGTCTGTATATGAGGGAATGTCACAAACGGGATAAAATGGTTTAACGGAAGAAATGGCTGTTAAGAGATAAGGTGTTTTGTTTTGTTTAAGTGATAAAGACTTGGCTGAGGGAAAGTGAAAGTGAACTTTAGTCATCAGTTTGGAATAACTGCAGGAGTGCTGCTTGAACGAGGTAGTTTGAGAAGGAGTTATTGAGTGGTACACCTAGCGAACCTAAGGGGAGGGGGAAGTACAAGTTCATAGAAGGGTTTAGGAGAAAATATGCCTTCTAAATCCACGCCCACAGTTTACTAAGGAGAGCCAGGCTGGTGTGCAGTGGGACAATCTTGGCTTACTGCTGTTATTAACCTGAATGATTTTTTTTTGTTCATTAAGGAAGGGGAGGTGAAGAGAAGAGTTCAGCTACATTTCAAAATCTTAATTATATCCTGCTAAATATAGAATAAGCTTTCTAAATTAAAATGGTTTTATAAAAGGAGATCGTTGGTGGGGTCATTTTTGTACTGTGGGTTTTTTTTTTTTTTAAACTATGGGTTTTATGTGTATATATCTACAACCCACTTCTCGTGATTTCACGTTAGAATATCAGGAAACCACAGGAGAGTTCCAGGCCAGTCAGCTTTTGATCTTCAACTTTATCATTTTCACCTTAAGATACAGGAAACCACAGGGGGTTTCAAAAATAATATTATTTTATATCAAACTTGTTTTTTACACACTTGGTTTCTCACAGAGATAAGTGGTTTCTCCTTAAAATCGAACATTTATATGATGTATTTACTGGAGTTACTATCAGAAAAGTTATAGTTTTCCGAAATTTAAGTTCACTCTGAGGTACTGTAGCACGAACATAGTTCATACTGTTGAGGTAGCTGTTCACATTAGAGTAGTTCACTTATTTACCTGGAACTTAAAAATGGGGGGTTGGGAGGGGAAGCTTAAATTCAAATCATGTCCAAGAAATTTTAACATCTACTTTAGAAATAGAAAAGCAATTGATTCTAGAATTAGACCAATTGCTAGTGTCGCTAGGATATATAAAATGAGGCTGAATGTTTTAACTCTGGAATTTTTCTGGATAGTCTAAGACCTAAGGCTGAAATGTATCACTTGCCTTAAGTTTACTTTTGCATGTGTGCTTTAATTTTATTCAGTGAGGCTGCCACTTAAAAAAAAAAACCATAATATTATTACCTGGATAAAAAAAAACTACAGCTGAAAGTAGATCACTTTATCCTTAATCAGAAGGATGGAAATAGAATTTAAGAATGTATTGGTTGAAAAAAAAATATTGATTTCTCTTCTTGAGGGAGTAAGATAATTTCCTACCAAATGAGACCACCTAGCTTATACCCTGTTCAGTTTATTTTCCACCTTGCTGCAGAAGCAGTAGCCAGCAGAGACTGGAACCACAGTTTAGGCTCTCTGAGTTGACTGCTAAGGGCTTTGTGGGCATTAAGAGAACCAACAAGCTGAAGTACTTGGAGACAGCTCTGGGATGTTTTATGAGCCTTTAAAAAAGGAATACAGCCTTGCAAAACCTTTACAGTAAGAAAAGTCAAATGAAAAAATATCCACAACCCCAAACCTTCTATTGTCCTTTTCTCTGCATACTTAGTGCATAGTTGAGATTAAATTTTGCATTCTGCCTCTCCCATTTAGTATTATAAAAGTCTCCACAGTTTTGTTTTTTTTTTGTTGTTTTTTTGCGATGGAGTTTCGCTCTTGTTGCCCAGGCTAGAGTGCAATGGCACTATCTCTGCTCACCGTAACCTCTGCTTCCTGGGTTCAAGCAATTCTCCTGCCTCAGCCTCCCAAGTAGCTGGGATTACAGGCATGTGCCACCACACCCAGCTAATTTTGTATTTTTAGTAGAGACGGAGTTTCTGCATGTTGGTCATGCTGGTCTCGAACCCAGGTGATCTGCCTGCCTCAGTCTCCCAAAGTGCTGGAATTACTGGCGTGAGCCACCACACCCAGCTGAAAGTCTCCATATTATTGAACAATCTTCAAAAGCACAGTGCTGAATGACTATAGTATTAATCTGCCATGGATATATCATAATTTACTTAACCATTCTTGTTTTATTGGGCATATTTGATGGAGGATAACGTTTTAATATTTTATACTTCAAAGTAATGTATTAAAAGTTGAGAACATGGTTTATTTGTTGGGTATGTATGATCTTAAATGTATGAGATTTATTCACATTTGCTTTCTAGGTTCTTCAGGGACACACAAAAGCCAACACCATGGTGGCTTTAATGAAAGTTTACCAAGAGGAAGATGAAGCGTACCAGGAATTAGTTACTGTGGCAACCACGTTCTTCCAATATTTATTGCAGCCATTAAGGGCTATGAGAGAAGTTGCAACTTTATGTAAGCTTGATATTTTGGTATGTTTTTTTTTTTTTTTAATCAGATTTACCATTTGTCTTATGTCCTTAGTTACACTTAATTTCAATCTCTGTACTTTGTTGGGTTCACCTTTATGTTTATTTACTTATTTATTGATAGAGATGAGGTTTTGCCATTTGGTTCAGGCTGGTCTCAAACTCTGGAGCTCAAGCAGTTTGTTTACTTTAGCCTCCCAAAGTGCTAGAATTACAGGCATGGGCCACTATGCTCAGTTCACCCTTATGTTTAAATGTTGAATTTATATTTTAAATTGATAGAAAATGAAGACATTTATGTTGCTCATCTTCTTTTTTTTTTGTTTTGTTTTTGTTTTTTTGAGATGGAGTTTCGCTCTTGTTACCCAGGCTGGAGTGCAATGGCGCAATCTCGGCTCACCACTACCTCCGCCTCCTGGGTTCAGGCAATTCTCCTGCCTCAGCCTCCTGAGTAGCTGGGATTACAGGCACGTGCCACCATGCCCAGCTAATATTTTTGTATTTTTAGTAGAGATGGGGTTTCACCATGTTGACCAGGATGGTCTCAATCTCTTGACCTCGTGATCCACCCGCCTCGGCCTCCCAAAGTGCTGGAATTACAGGCTTGAGCTACCGCACCAGGCATGGTCATCTTCTTTTAAGATTCCTACAGATTTGAAAGAGTTAAATGTTTTTTCTGCCAATGAATTTTTTTTTTTTTTTTTGAGACATGGTCTCCCTCCATCAGCTAGGCTGTCAGCTATGGGCTCACTGCAACTTCTTTCTGGGTTCAAGCAATTCTCCTGCTTCAGCCTCCCAAGTAGCTGGGATTACAGGTGTACACCACCACAACCAGCTAATTTTTTTGTGTGTGTTTTTAGTAGAGATAGGGTTTCACCATGTTGGCCAGGCTGGTCTTGAACTCCTGACCTTCTTGAGAATCAGCCCAACCCTGTACGTGGGTGTCCTTAGTCCCAGCACTGATGAGGGATTGGGAAAAGAAAATAAAGACAGAGACACAAGAGTAGAATTTACAGCATGGGTCCAGGGGACCAATGGCCCCCAACCTCTGGTCTCCAAACACTTGTGTATAATCTCATTGATCTTGTCAGCATGGAAAGGAAGGGTAAAGGAGTAAGTAAGATAGCTGGGTGGAGAGCACTTGAGATCCTTCTAAGACATGCTAAACTAGTACTCTGAGTTTATCACCAATTGTTATTAGGGTGTACCTGTATCAGAAGCAAATGGGATAAGGAGCCACCCTGTCTGACTACTCCCAATGCATCAAGGGGCTTTTATCTCCCGAGCATTGAAGACATAGAACAGTTAAAATCACTCCATATTCCTAGAACCTAGGCAGATCCTGAGGTGTTCCTTGATCTCTGCCCTGCAAGGCTTTTCTCCTCTTGCCAGTCCCCATCTGCAAAGACCGTCCCAGATCTTGTGGGAGAGGTTGGCTTCCTTCTCAGAGATCTTTACGTAAGCCCTCTTTATCAGGCCCTTATACAGTCTCCATGTTGAGAAGGCATTTGTGGGACCAGAGCAGTATTCCCTGCTCTGCAACCATCCCGAGGTGTTCCCTGGTGTTACTGCGCTCTTGGATGGTCTTTACCTTAGGCCTCCTGTTGCCGCTTGATTTCTAATTAACTGCACCAATAATATAGTTCTGTATATAAACCTCAGTGTACTCTGAGCCAAACAAGCTTATAATTATTTGGCTAGAATTAACATAGGTCTCCCCCTGGCCATCTTGACCCACAGACCTCAAGTGATCCACCCGCCCCCTCAAGCCTCCCAAAATGCTGGAACTGTGCCCAGCTTGATGAATTGTTTTTGATGTGATGTTTATTTGCTTCAGCTTCTTTTCCTCTAAGGGCTCATACAGATTTCTTAAAATAGGATGAAAATTTAAATAACAGGACCCTAGATTATAATTCAGTAATTTAAATTTTAGTAAATGCTGTTATTGTTCTTGCTTCATTGAGCCATCAGACAACCTTGTCACACCATTCAGAAAAGGCATTCTTATTCCAGTGTTACAATGAATCTAGAGTCCGGAGGAGTTAAATAGCGCACCTTGGGTCTCAGCAACTGGAATCAGAAGACACCTAAGAGGTCTCTTGATCTCTGTCTCCTGCACTGGGCCATCTTTCCACGTATAATCTCATGACCCCTGCCAGATGATTGTACTATAAAAATGGTATCACATTTAGATGAAACTTATGCCACTCTAACCTGTGGATAAAGTTGTTCTGTTTATTATTTTGAAAGTCTATTATTTGGAGAGTCTACTTCTTGCATATATTTTGCCTTTAAGTAACAGCTGTTTTAAGATAGCATTCACAGACCATATATATACATATACATATAAAGTGTATGACTCAGTGATTTTTAGTATATTCAGAGTTGTGCAATGATCATTATGTAGTATCAGAACATTTTCACCCCCAAAAGAAACCCTGTACCCATTAGTCACTCCCAGCCCTGGGAACCCACCAGTCTATTTTCTGTCTCTGAGGATTTCCCTGCTCTGGACGTACCAACAGCATGTCTTGAAAACATAGTTATTCCATGTTGTACCAAATATCAGGATTTCATTTCCTTTTATTGCTGAGGAATATTCATTGTATGGATATATCACATTGTGTGTGTGTGTGTGTTTTGAGATGGAGTCTTGCTCGCCCAGGCTGGAGTACAGTGGCGCAATCTTGGCTCACTGCAACCTCCGCCTCCCGGGTTCAAATGATTCTTCTGCCTCAGCCTCCAAAGTAGCTGGGACTACAGGCGTGTGCCACCACGCCTGGCTAGCTATATGACATTTTATTCATCAGTTGATGGGCATTTGGGTTGTTTCCACTTTTTGGCTATTATGAATAATGCTGCTATGAATGTTTGTGTGTAAGTTTCTGTGTAGACATATGTTTTCGATGCTATTGTGTATGTACTGAGGAGTAGGATTGCTGGGTCATCTGATTACTCAATGTTTAACATTTTGAAAGACTGCCAGATGGTTTTTCAAAGTGAGTGCATCATTTTATAATCTCAAAAGCAGTAAATGAGGGTTCCAGTTTGTCCACATTATCACCAACACTTGTTATTGTCTGTCTTTTTTGGTTACAGCCATCTTAGTGGGTATCTTGTTATAGTTTTGATTTGTAATTCCCTGTCGGCTAACTTATACATATTTCTTATGCTTTGTAGAAGAAAAATTGCATATTGGATGACATAGCAGTACATGTCTTAGTTCAGGCTGCTATAACAAAGTACCAGAGATAGTGTGGCTTATAAACAACAAAACTCTTTCTCACAGTTCCGGAGGCTGGGAAGTCTAAGATCAAATGCTGGCAGATCCAGCTTCTTGTGCGGGCTAGTTTCTTAATTTGTAGATGACAGTCTTGCTGTGTCTTCACATGGTGAAGAGCAGAGAGAGATCCTTTGTCTCCTTTTTATAAGGGCATTAATCCCATTATTGAGGGCTCTACCCTCATGACCTAATTACCTTTGAAGGTCCCATTTTCAAATACCATCACACTGGGGACTAAGCCTTCAAGGGACCCAAACATTCAGTCCAATGTCAGTACATGTTATAAGCATGAATATACAGAAACTACTATCATTTAGGTGATTATATTACATATCCTTAAAAGAAACCATAACAACAGCTAACACTTAAGTGCTGTTTCAGGCCCTATGCTGAATGCTTGACAACACAGATCACTCATTTAAACAATTGTGTATTACTAATAATAGAGAGAAACATAATTTTACCACATTCTTCTCCAGAAAAAGTTATTCTAGGCATGCAAAGTGAAAATAGGTTTTTTTCCTTTATGCCTCAGAGTGTCCTTTTTTTGTCTTCCAGGTGGTCCTCAGCTTAGAGCCTTATTCATACTCAGTAAGGGACTGATGAAAGAATGAAAATTTGACTAAGTAGTGGTGTATTTAAATTAATCCATGTGACCAGTTTCCTAATGGGTCACATAACTATTAGCTCTTACTAAGACAAATTTCTCTTCTGTCTGTAGAAGTCCTTGGATGAGGATGACCTAGGTCCTAGAAGGGTAGTTGCCCTGGAGAAAGAAGCTGAAGAATGGACCAGACGGGCTGAAGAAGCTGTCATCTCTATTCAAGATATCACAGTGAATTATTTCAAGGAGACAGTAAAAGCATTAGCAGGTGATAATTTAAAAAATGCTTTACGAAGATACATGTAATTGTCATTTTATTCAAATACCATTTGAGTGCCTCTTAAGCACCAGGCACTGTTTTCTAGGTGCTAAGAATTCAGTGTCAAGCATTAAGAGACATTGTACAGTCTAGTGAAGGGAGAGAAATCTTAATTATTCATTGAAGCGTGGAAAATGGCAGTGACAATAAATGTCACAAAGAAGAGAGATATGGGGCTCTGAGAATCTGTGAGAGAAACTGGGCTTGATCAGGGTGGTCACTGAAGGCCTCTGAGAAGTGGCGCTTGCCCCAGTATCTTCAAGAGTAAATAGAAGTTGAGATGACAGAAAAAGTGAGGAGTGTTCCAGGTAGAAGGGTATAGCACTGGCAAAGGTCCCCTGGCTTGAGGGAAGTTGGCAAATAGGAGCTTAAAAGATAACCTGCAGGGCTGGATCGCAGAGAGTGCGAAATAATATGGTATGATGGAAAATGCTGGCAAGACAGGGCAGGGGTCAGACCATGCAGGGGTTTGTGGGCTGGGTGAAGGACTTTATTTTAGTCTTAAATAATTGTTGATAAAAGCAAAGAATAGGAAACAATGTCTGTCAGTTTGTTATTCCTAAAACAGAAAACGACATAGATGTTAAGCATGATTCTTGATTTTTTTTTTTTAATGAGTGGCAAGAGTTTCTGATCTATTGTGCAGAATCAACAAGATATAAAGCAGAATGATGATCCTGTTTTTTTGGTCAAACTATCCATAGAAGCATGTCTGTCTAGCTAGATGTAGAAACAATACGGAAGCAAGTGTGCCAAAATATAAGAAGCAATTGTCTCAACTAGGTGAGATCATGACTTATGTCTTTTTAAAAATGGAATACCTAGAATTTTTAGATCAATGATAATAAAAGAGTTAATGACACAAAATTTCTTTTAAAAAGGATGTTCTGCAGGTGGTATGGAGGCAATAAAAAAGCATTAGCTCATGATAAATGTTTCCCATTTTAATGAGGTGTAATTGTATTTTATTTTAAAAATCCAACAGGAATGCAGAAACAAATGGAACAGGATGGGAAGAGATTTGGCCAGGCTGCCTGGGCCACAGCAACTCCCAGGTTGGAAAAACTTAAGCTAATGCTAGCTCGAGAGACTTTGCAACTCATGAGAGCGAAAAAGCTGTGTTTAAATCACAAAAGAGCTGAAATTCAGGGAAAGGTAAGACAAAGATAAACATAACTTTGTTTTAAAAATACACTTTTGGCTGGTCCGAGTGCAGCGGTGTTTACAACTAATCACTGACAACCAGTTACAGATTTTGTTCCTTCTCCACTCCCACTGCTTCTTCACTTGACCAGCCTTTAAAAAAAAATACCCTTTTTTTTAAAAAAAATTTTTATAAAGGATACAAGTGCAGTTTTGTTCTATGGATATATTGTATAATGGTGAAGTCTGGGCTTTTAGTGCAATCATCACCTGTATAATGTAATTGTACCCACTAAATATTTCTCATCTCCCTTCCCACCCTCTTACTCTTCTGAGTCTCCAGTGTCTATTATTCCACTCTCTATGTATACACATTTCTTAGCTCCCACTTAGAAGTGAGAACATGTGATAAAAGCATATTTTTATTTTTAGATAGCACTTTTCTTTCCAGGTATCATTAAAGAGCTTCTTTAATTCACTTATTCCAACACCATCTTCTATGGAAGGTTAGACATAAAGTTTTCCTTTGGTTAAGATGTTTTGAAATACCATATTGTAGGATTCACTTTATAGTAACACCGAGTATTGAAGTGGGTACTGTACTTGAAAATCAATCGAGCAATGTTTTCAGTACAACTTTAAAATAAAGACATATTTCGGGCCGGGCGCGGTGGCTCAAGCCTGTAATCCCAGCACTTTGGGAGGCCGAGGCGGGTGGATCACGAGGTCAAGAGATAGAGACCATCCTGGTCAACATGGTGAAACCCCGTCTCTACTAAAAATGCAAAAAAAATTAGCTGGGCACGGTGGCGTGTGCCTGTAATCCCAGCTACTCAGGAGGCTGAGGCAGGAGAATTGCCTGAACCCAGGAGGCGGAGGTTGCGGTGAGCCGAGGTCGCGCCATTGCACTCCAGCCTGGGTAACAAGAGCGAAACTCCGTCTCAAAAAAAAAAAAAAAAAAAAAAAGACATATTTCACTGAAGGATGAAACTTAATTTTTTTCCTATAATCTTATGACTTTAAAACAGAAAACACTGTAAACTCCTGTCTTACTTAGTTGGCTCAGGCTGCTATAACAAGGTTAAGTATCACAGATGGGTGGCTTAAACAACAGACATGTATTTCTTATAGTCCTGGAGGATGGGAAGTCCAAGATCAAGGTGCCTACAGATTCATTGTCTAGTAGCGTCCTCTTTCTGGCTGGTAGACAGTTGCCTTCTTAGTGCTCATACAGCCTTTCATCTGTGTGTATGCTTAGAGAGAAAGAAAGTGATCCCTCTTTCTCTTCTTATGAGGGCACTAATCCCATGATGGGGCACCATTTTTTTTGATATAATCTGAACCTAATTAATTCCAAAGGACCCACCTCCAAATAACGTCACATTGGGAGTTAGAGGTCAACATATGAATTTTGAAGGCACACCAATATTCAGTACATAATAATACCTCAAACCTATGTTTTCCTCTGTTTCAAGGATGAGTGATGTAAAGTATTTACATCACTAGATGAAATGAAAAAGTGTTTCTTTCCTATTTGCCTTTTTATATTTATTACTGAATAAGGAATAGAAAATAGCTAGAATGCTTCTAAAGTTTGTTTTTAATATACTAATTTATTTTAACATATTTTCCTTTTTTCTATGAAAACAAGATGGAAGATCTTCCAGAACAAGAAAAAAATATCAATGTTGTAGATGAATTAGAAATAAAATTTTATGAAATTCAGTTAGAACTATATGATGTTAAATTTGAGATATTAAGAAATGAAGAAATACTGCTTACTACACAGTTGGACTCTCTTAAAAGACTTATAAAAGGTAAAATTTGTATTTAAATATATACATTACAATGTTTAAATTACAAATTCAAGGAAATACAGACCATATTAATTACATTTTGTAAATTATAACATCTGAAAATTTCCTAACGTTTTCCTTCAGTGGTTTATTACTCAAATAATAGTTATTAACAGAGCAAAACAAAAATGATTATTATCCCAAGCTCATCATCTACAGATACTTAGTGGTTGGCTGGGCATGGTGGTTCAAGTTTGTAATCCCAGCACTTTGGGAGGCTGAGGAGGGCGGATAACTTGAGGTCAGGAGTTCCAGACCAGCCTGACCAACATGGTGAAACCCCATCTCTACTAAAAATACAAAAATACTAAACCCCGTTTCTACTAAAAATACAAAGTCTGAGGCTGGGCATGGTGGCTCACGCCTGTAATCCCAGCACTTTGGGAGGCTGAGGCGAGCAAATCACCTGAGGTCAGGAGTTCAAGACCGGCCTGACCAACATGGAGAAATCCCGTCTCTACTAAAAATACAAAATTAGCTGGACATGGTGGTGCATGCCTGTAATTCCAGCTACTCAGGAGGCTGAGGCAGGAGAATAGCTTCAACCTGGGAGGCGGAGGTTGCAGTGTGCCAAAATCGTGCCATTGCACTCTGACCTGGGCAATAGAGTGAGACCATCTCAAAAAGGAAAAAAAAGAGAGATTCTTACTGGTAACAGTTTGCAGTATAACTTTGTAGATTTTTAAATATGCTGATACATAAAACAATTTTTAACCAAAATTACATAACCAGTTTAGTAACCTTTTTAAAAAAATTTTTAATTGTGGATATATAGCAGGTACATATATTTATGGGCTACATGAGATATTTTGACACAGGCATACAATGTATAATAGTCTCTTTTTCATTCAATATGTAATAACTGTCTTTCCATTTCAGTAAATAAAAGTATCAAAATTTTAATGGCTGCATAGTATTCCATTATATGGATATATCATGATTTCCAATCCGCTGTTTTCAACAGTAGTGTAGTGACTTTCCTTTACACGTGTCTTTGAGTATAGGACAGATTTTTTCCTTGGAATAAATTTCTAAGGATGGAATTATTGTGTCAAAGGCAATGTATATTTTACATTTTGATATATATCTGTTCAAACAACAGAACGAGATACATATAATCATCCGAGATACATTTCTCCATACCTCTGTATTTTTTCTAAATTTCATACTACATAATGGCCCTCTAGATAGGCAGTACATTTAAAATGACCCTCCAAGCTGGGTGTGGTGGCTCATGCCTGTAATCTTAACACTTTGGGAGGATCACATGAGGTCAGGAGTTCAAGACTGTCTCTACTAAAAATACAAAAATTAGTGGGGCATGGTGGCGGATGCCTATAATTCCAGCTACCTGGGAGGTTGAGGCAGGAGAATTGGTTCAATCCAAAAGGCAGAGGTTGCAGTGAGCTGAGATGGCACCACTGCACTCTAGCCTGGGTGACAGAGCAAGACTCTGCCTCAAAAAAAAAAAAAAAAAAATGCTCCCATCAGCAGAATATGAGTGTCTATGTTTCCCAGATTCATGCCATTTTTTTGCATTTTTGCTTACTTGACAGAGAAAATGGCAGTCTCTAATTTTCATTTAATTATGAGTGAATATTGAATACAATTTTGTATGTTTACAAGTCATTTGTACTTATTTTATGAAATGACTATTCATGGTCTTTGTCCATTTTTCTTTGAAATGTTTTCTTTCCACCTTAAGAATAATATCCTCTATTGTCTGTCATATGTTGCAAATAATCTCTTCCTGTCATTTGTGTTTTTTTGCCTTTCAGAAATAATTTTTATTAAGTCGTGTTTTATTAATATTTTCCCCTATGGCTTCTGCTTTTAGTGTTGTCTGGCAAAGTCTTATGTCAGCATATATTTATATTTTCTTTTAGTATGTTTATGATGTTGCTTTTAAAATATTCTTCTGTCCAGGTGGAATTTATTTTTATTATAGTAGGAATTGAACCTTTCCCTCAAATTGTTAAGTAGTCCCAATCACTGATTTTAAAACCATTTTCCCCTAAATATTTAACATTTCTCAAGTTAGACATTAGATTAACTTTGGTCTATTTCTGAGTTATTCTCCTCCATTGGTTTGTGAGTGGCTGCTGGTGCTGGCTCCACACTGTTCCCATGACTGGACCTTGGAAGCACATTTTTAGGGTCTAGTAAGGCAAGTGCCCACCGCCCCATTACTTCTTCAGATGTTTTCTGACTATTTTTAACTCCTTTATTCTTCCAGATGAAATTTAGACTCAAGTTCAAAACAAAAACTCGTTGGAAGTTTGATTGTGATTTTGCTTAAAATTAGAAATTACTTTGGGGAGAATAGTGGTCTTTGCAATTCGAATCTTCCCACCCAAGAACATGGTATGTCTCTCCATTTATTTAAATCTTTTTTCTTAAAGTGTCTCCAAGTTTAATAAATTTCTTCACATATATCCTGAACTTTTAGTTTTATCCTGAGTATTCAGAATTTTTTGTAGTAGTTTCAGATTATAAGCATTTTACATATTTAGGGGAAAATTACATTTAAAAAAGTTAATCTGGAAGGATGCATGCCAAATTGTTCATAATGTTTTTCCTCTGAGAATGGCTTGGAAGATTTAGGGAAGGAGCAAGAAAATTTCACTGTTTATTTTATGCACTTCTGGAGGGTCTGAATTTGTTACAGTAAGCATGACTTTTTTTTTTTTTTTTTGAGATGGAGTTTCGCTGTTGTTACCCAGGCTGGAGTGCAATGGCACAATCTCGGCTCACCGCAACCTCCGCCTCCTGGGTTGAGGCAATTCTCTCGCCTCAGCCTCCTGAGTAGCTGGGACTACAGTCACGCGCCACCATGCCCGGCTAATTTTTTGTATTTTTAGTAGAGACGGGGTTTCACCATGTTGACCAGGATGGTCTCGATCTCTTGACCTCATGATCCACCCGCCTCGGCCTCCCAAAGTGCTGGGATTACAGGCTTGAGCCACCGCGCCCGGCCAGCATGACTTTTAAAAAATCAGTAGGTAATCAAGATTAAATATCATTAAGGCATCTTAATAATATGTTGCTGGTAGAATGTGAGTTGCCTTTCTGGAGGGCAATTTGGCAATGAGTATCAAGATTCTTAAATATTTATCTGTTAAGGAAATAATAAAAAGTGTACAGAAAGATTTATACAGAGATGTTCATCACGGTGAAATGAATAATAATGGAACATTGGAACAGCCTAACTACAAGGATTGCTTAGAGAATACTATGCTGCCATTAAAATTTACCTTATTTAAAAATTTTTTTTTAATTTTTGGAGACAGAGTCTCACTCAGTTGCTCAGGCTGGAATGCAGTGGCGTGATCTCAGCTCACTGCAACCTCCACCTCCCAGGTTCATGCGGTTCTCCTGCCTCAGCCTCTTGAGTAGCTGGGATTACAGGCACGTACCACTGTCTCCAGCTAATCTTTGTATATGTAGTAGTAGAGATGGGGTTTTGCCATGTTGGCCTGGCTGGTGTTGAACTCCTGACCTCAGGTGTTCTGCCTGCCTTGTCCTCCCAAAGTTCTGGGATTACAGGTGTGAGCCACTGTGCCTGGCCTAAAAATTTTTATTTCGATTCCATGGAAAATGATGTCTTAGAATTCTGTTGATATGTGTAGCTATGTAAGTAGTTTGTGTATGTGTGTGTATGCACATACATGTATACATTCATATATATATACACGTGTATATGTATATTACTATATATACACACACATGTTTTATATATATATGTAAATAGTGCTTATCCCTCAGTGGTGGGATTACAAGTGATCTTTATTTTCCTTACATTTAAAAAAATTTAGTGCATTTTCTAAAATAATAAAATGTTTTTAACAATCGTTAATACATTTTCAGAAAAACAGGATGAAGTTGTCTATTATGATCCGTGTGAAAGTCCAGAGGAACTTAAAGTCATTGACTGTGTGGTGGGGCTGCAGGACAATAAGAATTTGGAAGTGAAAGAACTCAGAAGGCAGTGCCAGCAGCTGGAGTCTAAACGGGGCAGGATCTGTGCCAAAAGAGCCTCTCTCCGGAGCAAAAAGGTAGGTACGCCCAGAGTGGCTTTCTTTTCTCTTCCAGATATTATTCTTTTATGAAGAATAAAGAGGTATTGAAATAAGGTTTTTACCACACAGTCATTAATTTTTTATGTGCTTATGTACTTATCCATGGCTATAGTTAAAATGCTTTTAGTATTTTTCTTAAAAATATTATTTTTTTCTTTTGGGATTTAAGCATTTAGCAAATCTCAAGGTTTTAATTTATTCATTCAACAACTATTTGTTGAATGCCCATTGCATACACAGGCACTTTATTTTTATTTTTGAGACAGAGTCTTGCTCTGTCACCCAGGCTGGAGTACTGAGGCGTGATCTAGGCTCACTGCAACATCCACCACCCGGGTTCAAGGGATTCTTGTGCCTCAGATTCCCAAGTAGCTGGGATTACAGGCACGTACCACCATGCCCAGCTATTATTTGTGTATTTCATAGAGATGGGTTTTGCCATGTTGGCTAGTTTGGTCTTGAACTCTGACCACAAGTGATCCATTCCACCTTGGCCTCCCAAAGTACTGGGATTACAGGTGTGAGCCACTGTCCCTGGACCACAGGTACTTTAAAAACCACAATAGGTAGAAACTCTATTTCTAATAACCAACTGTAACAATTCTAAATATTTTTTTGGTAGAATATTCAGCTCATTTCAGAGCTTATATTTGGTGATTTTTTAATTTGTTTTTTTGAAACGGTGTCTTGCTCTGTCACCCAGGCTGGAATGCAGTGGTGCAATCTGGGCTCACTGCAACCTCCACCTCCCAGGTTCAAGCAGTTCTCCTGCCTTAGCCTCCCAGGTAGCTGGGATTACAGGTGCGTGCCTGTAATCCCAGCTACCTGGGAGGCTAAGGCAGGAGAACATGCCCAGCTAATTGTTTTGATTTTTGGTAGAGATGGAGGTTTCACCGTGTTGGCCAGGCTGGTTTCGAACTTCTTACCTAAGTGATCTGCCTGCCTTGGCCTCTGCCTCAGTGCTGGGATTATAGGCATAAACCATTGCACCTGACGATTTTTTTTAATTTTTAAAAATCCATGAATACATAAAAAGATAACACACTAAGAAATTTATTTTTTTCCGACAGAAAAGGAAGCTTCTATGTATCATTTTTATCTAGACTTTTATATGTGTTTAGTCATATTTACTATACTTTTGTTTTTTGTTTTGTTTGAGACGGAGTCTTGCTCTGTCTCCCAGGCTGGAGTGTGATGGCGTGATCCTCGCTCACTACAACCTCCGCCTACCAGGTTTAAGTGAGTCTCCTGCTTCAGCCTCCCATGTAGCTGGGATTACAGGTGCTTGCCACCACGTCCGGCTAGTTTTTGTATTTTTAGTAGAGACAGGGTTTCACTATGTTGGTCAGGTTGGTCTTGAACTCCTGACCTCGAACAGTCTACCTGCCTTGGCCTCCAAAGTGCTGGGATTAGAGGCAAGAGCCACCACTCCCAGCCTACTATACTTTTCTTACTAGAATTAGGAAAACATGAAAATCGTGACTTTTGTAGCTTACAAAAATATTACTCTTCCATGTAAATACAAATACCTAAAAAAAAGCTTGACTAGGTGTGGTGGCTCATGCCTGTAATCCCAGTACTTTGGGAGGCTGAGGTGAGAGAATCACTTAAGGCCAGAAGTTTGAGACCAGACAACACAATGAGACTTCATCTTTATGGTGTGCACCTATAGAGCCAACTACTCAAGAAGCTGAGGCAGGAGGATCGCTTGAGTCCAGGAGGTTGAGCCTTCAGTGAACTATGATTGCACCACTACACTTCAGCCTGGGTGATAGAATTAGACCCTGTCTCTGATAAAAAATAAAAATAAAAAACTTTGTTAGAAGAGTATATTATTTGAATGTTTAAGAATTGTACTTCTGGATTTAGGAACTGTTCTTCAGAGGATTTGAAGATATACAGGCATTTGCCCTTTGCTCCACATTTCAGAAAAACCATGAGCACTGAGAGAAGTCTCCTTTGGCACTCCCATGGCACTGTGGATGAGATGCCTCTCCCTCCTTGGCTCTGTGTGTGTGTGTGTGTGTGTGTGTGTGTGTGTGTGTGTGTGTAAAATGCTCCTGTGCCTTCTCTATCCAGACTTGGAGCATTAACCTTCACTCTCAAGATATAATCACTCCCCCTACCTCATTTAGGGGAGCTCTTGCACTGATTCTGGAAATGTTGGAATTTGGAAGGCACTCGGTTGATAGAATGGTAGTTGAGGTGAGCTCTCAAATCACGGCTTGTCCACTTAGACAGCCATGTGACCTTAGGTAAATTATTTAAATCTCTTTGGAGCTCAGTTTTCTCATCTGTTAAATAAAGGATGATAATGGTAATACAAATCTCATGATTCATGTGAGGATAAAGTTAGCATAAGGCATGAAAAGTAGTTGGCATTGAGGCTAGCACCTAAAACCTCAATACATGTTAATATTATCTGTGAGTATTACTGTATTGTTTTTTACACAGATGAAGAATTTTGCAGCTGGGTTCAGTGGCTCACGCCAGTAATCCCAGCACTTTGGGAGGCTCAGGCAGGTGGATAATAAGGTCAGGAGTTCAAGACCAGCCTGACCAACATGGTGAAACCCCGTCTCTACTAAAAATACAAAAATTAGCTGGATGTGGTGGTGTGCACCTCTAATCCCAGCTTCTCAGGAGGCTGAGGGAGGCAGAGGTTCTGGTGAGCTGAGATCATGCCACTGAACTCCATCCAGCCTGGGCAACAGAGCAAGACTTCATCTCAAAAAAAATAATAATAATTTTATGTACATATAGGATATATTAGTATAATGAGTGGTTAAGCACAGGTGAAACAGTTATTAGCATAATTTTTCAGGTATTTGTAGGTTGCTCTGCTTTTGTAGGCATGCTTGGAAATGTAATTAGCATTTATAATATGAGGAAATATGTTTAAAACAATCACATTAAAACAAATTGTTGGGACACATCTCATTTAAGAATGAGGGCTGCTTATATGTCCTTTCATGGTTGGCGGATTATTTTTCATCTCTCAAAGCACTCTGCTGGGAACAAATCTTTCCATAAGCAGCCAAGCAACTCTCATCATAGACGGTGAAGGAGACAGTACCATTGGCCTGCGCCAGAACTAATATTAATGAATGCCTTACACTACAGCCCAAATGCAGTGCTTTTTTTCTTTTAACCTTTTATGCTATACAAGGTAATATTAAAAACCATGTAGGTGATTTGTATTATTCCACCAGGATCAGTGCAAAGAAAATCATCAGCTCAGATTGCAACAGGCTGAAGAAAGCATAAAATACTCTCGTCAGCATCATAGTATTCAGATGGTGAGTCTCTGAAGGAAAATGTTCTGTGTTTGTGTAGTGTGACATGCAGGCCTAGACTTGTGGAAACTGGAGTTGCGGTGCCCTGGACCTGCAGCTGTCAGCCATTCGCCTCCAGGCCTGCAGCCTGGGCGCAGCCTTGGGGGGCTGGTAATGTTGGGGCACAGTCTCTTTTTTGTCAAGACATTTTTTTGTAATGTTGAGCAACTTACAAATACACATTTGTTTAAATATAGAAAAGAGACAAGATAAAAGAAGAGGAACAAAAGAACAAAGAATGGATCAACCAAGAACGCCAAAAAACACTCCAACGATTGAGAGCATTTAAAGATGTAAGTTTTATAAACAATCATCTCACCTACATTTCTGGGGAAATGACTGAAGACCACCCATCCTAAGAGGAAAGTATAAAATATTAAGAACAGGTCATTCAGAATGTGAAATGTTTCAAAAATACCATTAATTCTGGTATATCTATAAAAAACAACAAAAATAGAGTATCAGTGATTCAAAACCCATGATATAAAATAACTGCTGTTTTTGACATCACAGCACTCTTGGGTTCCTGCTCTGCACTCCTCACTGAGTAGTCCTAGCTGGACTGGTGGTTTAGATTGGCAGGGAAAACTGAAAACTATTTAACTCCCTTGACTTTAACTGGCTTTTCCTCATTTGTAATAATTCTTTAAAATGTTATCCAGGCAGCATTGTGATGTAAGTGTAGTTGAAAGTGCCCTGTTAAAAGTAAAATGTGTTTTTAATTTTTTTATATCACCATCTTTCTTTTTAAAAAATTTTTTGGCCGGGCGCGGTGGCTCAAGCCTGTAATCCCAGCACTTTGGGAGGCCGAGGCGGGTGGATCACAAGGTCAAGAGATCGAGACCATCCTGGTCAACATGGTGAAACCCTGTCTCTACTAAAAATACAAAAATTAGCTGGGCATGGTGGTGTGTGCCTGTAATCCCAGCTACTCAGGAGGCTGAGGCAGGAGAATTGCCTGAACCCAGGAGGCAGAGGTTGCAGTGAGCCGAGATCGCGCCATTGTACTCCAGCCTGGGTAACAAGAGCAAAACTCTGTCTCAAAAAAAAAAAAAAAACAAAAACAAAACATTTTTTTAAGTATATACTTATGAGGTTAATGTTATTTTTTATGCCCTCTGTCCCAGGCCTACATTTGCATTTCCTCCACAAAATGATCCTGAATCTGTAAATTTTTTTCTATTTCTTGACTTTATTATTAGAGATAAATTCCTTTAAAAGCTGCTATGAAATTTAAAAAAAATTTTTTTGCTTTTATTTTTAATTGACACAATTGTACATATTTGTGAGGTATAGTGTGATATTTTGATGCAGATATACAACATGTAATGATTAAATCAGAGTAATTAGCATATCTGTCACCTCAAACATTTATCTAAAGGTAAACAGGTTTTTAAAACAATGTTAATAGGGAGTCAGGCTCAATGGCTCATGCCTGTAATCCCAGCACTTTGGAAGGCTGAGGCAGGTGGATTGCTTGAGGCCATCCACGAGTTTGAAACCAGCCTGGGCAACATGGTCACCCAGTCTATTAAAAATACAAAAATTAGCCGGGCATGGTGGCTCATGCCTTTAGTTCCAGCTACTTGGGAGGCTACGGCACGAGAATCACTTGAGCCTGGGATGCAGAAGTTGCAGTGAGAGGCAATATCATGACACTGTACTCCAGCCTGGGCAACAGAGCGAGACTCCACTGTCCCAAAAAATAAACAAAATAAATAGGGGCTTATTTAAGAATATCATTAGCCAGGTGCAGTGGCTCACACCTGCAATCCCAGCACTTTTGGAGGCTGAGGTGGGCGGGTCACCTGAGGTCAGGAGTTCCAGACCAGCCTGGCCAACATGATGAACCCCATCTCAACTAAAAATACAAAAATTAGCTGGGCATAGTGGCACGCACCTGTAATCCCAGCTACTTGGGAGGCCGAGGCAGAAGAATCACTTGAACCCAGGAGGTGGAGGTTGCAGTGAGCTATGATCACACCACTGCACTCCAGCCTAGGCGACAGAGTAAGACTCTGTCTCAAAAAGAATATCATTTAATTTATTGACTATATACATAGACCTGCTCTTATTCCCCAGCCCCTTCACAAAGACCAAGTTTATTGTAACTCCCAAAAGGGAAACAACCCACTGTATCCCAGAAAAGATTCTTGAATAGGTATCAGATGCCTTCTGTGTACGAGGCACCATGCTAGGCACTTCACATTCACTCTCACTAAGTTCTTTAAACAGCCTTGTGACATATTTTCATCACCATATTACAGATGAGTAACCAAGGTTCAGAATGGTTGGTTAAACAACTTAGCTCAAGGTTAAACAGCAGGGATTGAAGCCAGGTCTTTCTTACTCCAGAGCCACTACGGGGCTTCTCAGCCTGGGCAACACATCCAAATCCCCTTGGGGAGCTTATTCTAAGGCCCAGCCCCATCCACAGAAATTGTGATATAACTGCCCTGGATAGAGGCCTGGGTGTGAACTACAGCAGGAAGACTGAATTGATAGGAATTGCATGAATGCCAGATGAAGGTAGAGCCAGTGAGGTAGAGAGGAGCTGTCTGGTTGCCGTCACCAAGAGAGTTTTGATGAACAGAAAGGAGTCAGTGTGGAAGGCATCTAAGGGTGGCCAGCCTGTCCTCCTCAGCCCTCATTCAGATCAAGGAGTTGTTTGGCAATACAGAAGATTCCTTTTTCATGTGTGGGTGATATGAAAATGGGAGGGGCAGCCAGATTTAAGTGACAGAATCAGGCCTCCCAAGCTTCCAGTGAAACTGGAACAATTAATTGAACACTAATAAATTCACCTAAAGTTGGGATATATTACTGGTTTTCTAGGCCAAAAAAGCCCATATGCAGTGTGCACTTGCATGGGGTGATAGGAAAGAGTCTGAGTTGCTTACATTTTTGGGAAAACAATTTGAGAATTCAGTTTCCCTCAGCTTAATGAGCCACCGGTGTGACAAAAGCTCACAGGCTTTTGGGATGTATGGACAGCCGCATCCTGTGTAGAATAAGGGAGTTCTGTGTTTATAAGGAAGTGCCACCCTTGACACCAATTTGAGCACATTTGGAAGGAAGAAGTAGGAGAGGGAGAAAACTAGAAATAAAATCATGTGATACATGATATCTGGTGAGATCAAGGAAGTTGTTTTTTGACTATCTGAAGGGCTGCGTGAGGTAAAGGATTTTATTTATTGTGGGTGGACAGACTGCCTGTACAATATAAGGAGAACCTGGTCAGGCACCGTGGCTCACGCCTGTAATCCCAGCAGTTTGGGAAGCTGAGGCAGGCAGATTGCTGGAGCCCAGGAGTTTGAGACCAGCCTGGGCAACAAAGCAAGACCCCATCTCTGCAAAAAAACAAAGGCAGAACTTAATAGTCCAGAGTCGCAGTGGCATGCTGCGGCCAGGATGCCACAGAGGGGATCCTTGCGTGTTTCAGGGAACCCCAATATCAGGTACGATCTGATCAGTTGGGTCACAGCTGGAATTTGCATTAATAGGATCATAGTGAAAGCATCCTTTGTCAGTTTCTTTAATTTAGGTTTTTGAGATATATTTATGTTAATGTATAGGCCTAGTTCATTTTAATGAGTTCACACTATTACATTTTATGTTTCATCGGCTAATTAGTGCCTTCTTTAGGGACCTCCTTTCAAGATTAGCTCTTTGTAGGGCTAGGTTTCAGGTTTTGTATTATTTATGACTTTTTATGGTTACTTAACATTTTGGATAGATTTATCACAATTTTTTTTTTTTAGACAGTTTCACTCTTGTTACCCAGGCTGGAGTGCAATGGCGCCATCTCGGCTCACCGCAACCTCCGCCTCCTGGGTTCAGGCAATTCTTCTGCCTCAGCCTCCTGAGTAGCTGGGACTACAGGTGCGCACCAGCATGCCCAGCTAATTTTTTGTATTTGTAGTAGAGACGGGGCTTCACCATGTTGACCAGGATGGTCTCGATCTCTTGACCTTGTGATCCACCCGCCTCGGCCTCCCAAAGTGCTGGGATTACAGGCTTGAGCCACCACACCCGGCCGACAATTTTTTAAACTAACATCCTATTTGTATTTTAGCATTTCTAATTTTCCATACTAAAAATTGATGACTATTTTCCTCTATATGTATGTTTTTGTATCTTCATTTTACTATAGAGAAGGTAATATCTGATCAAAGGATATAAATGCTTATCCTTTAATCCGTGAAAAATGGATTCATTAGCAACGATGGCTGTACAAACAAGAGGGAGCTACTTTGTGAATTAGACCATCCATGCATAGAAACGCATGTGTTTATTTATAAGTTTATTTCTAGAAAGTTTCAGCATTTTGATGGTTTGCACTTATGGCAGATTCCTCACCATGGTTTTTCATTTTCAGAAGCACCTAGGTCAATCTGTCCGAAAGACCTCTGGCGCAGAACCTGTGGCTCCAAACCTGCCAGGTGGCCTTTCCCAGCAGACGTGCTTGCCAGCTTCCCAGGTGGTGTCAGTAATTCATCCATCCTCTAGGAAAACTAGAGGTGTTCCCCTATTGGAAGCTAGTAACGTGAAAACCCCCAAGTGTCAAGACTGTCATGGAAATACCTCTGTCCAGGTTTTTGTTCCAGTTGGTGATCAAACACATTCCAAATCCAGTGAGGAATTGTCACTGCCACCTCCTCCACCACCACCACCACCACCAGCACCAGCACCAGCACCAGCTCCTCTGCCTGCTCTGTCCTCATGCTCTGAAGCTGCAACTCATCAGAACTTAGGCTTCAGGGCTCCAATGAAAGATGACCAGCCACTTCCCCTAGTGTGTGAATCACCTGCTGAGAGGCCACGTGACTCCTTGGGACATTTTCCATGTCCAGGTAATCCACTGGAATTCTGTCCCATCTCCCCATGGGTTGTTAAGCTGTTGAAGCATTCTAGCTTTGGAGGCCATAATTTTCAAATGGAAATCATTTATAGAATTCTCTCTAGCCTTAAAATGTTCCAGTATTTGCTGCCTTGAGTATCATCATTCTTTCATCGCAAAGTTAGTATAGTATAGCCTAAATCTGGTTTCATAAATGTTAATTCAGTTTGAAGAAACCATCTCTATACCTTTAATGATCGCATGACTTGGGATTTCTGAGGTTTTTAAATTATCAACCTATTTGAAGTTTCTTAAAACTTCAGTATGTATTTCATGTCTGCCATTGGAATACTTTTTAATACTGTTTTAAATTATGCTTACTGTTGTATCTCTGAGTCCTTTACAGAATCCAGTTGTTGTATTTTAAGCAGAATACTGGTTGGAAATTACTGTAGAGGCATATTAGCCAGATGTAGAAGGCTGTTCTTGCAGACTGACTAGCAGACTGAGGACCCTTACTGTTGGAAATCTTTCTAAAATGTTACGGATCAGAAAGAAAAAGTAGGCCACTTGTCTTGACAAGTGCAGTATACTGAATACTCTTGACTGTTTAATATGGCTATAGTTCTCTCCCAGAATTTGATATATGGCTTTAGACATTGAGTATTGAGAATGGCCTAAATCTGACGAGACTTGGAGCCGTGTGTGTGTGTGTGTGTGTGTGTGTGTGTGTGTTTTAGATAAATCCTAGCAAAATTTATGTTAATTTGTTTTTAAAAGTATGCTTGAGCACCTTCACCTATACTGTACAAGGTTACTGTAATAGTTGATATAAGTAAGAGTTCCAAATTGTGATTCTGGTTTGTTGATCAGTTTTGCTATTCTAAGTTCAGAGCTTCACTGTGCCTAGAACCAGGTACAAATGAAAATGTCCAAATATTAGGTGGAGATCCAATGGCCTGTTTCCAAGGGGTTTGCAACAACTGTCCCGTGTATGAAAAGTAAGCGTTTGCATGCCTGTGTCTAGATCACATTTTGGAAGTAGGCAGATCTTTGTGGGGTGCCACATTCCCATCCCAGGTTTAATGCACATAGTTTTAGGAAGACCTGTTCAACTCACAAACACTAATTCACAGGAAAGAATAAAGTGTGAATTTGCACCGCAGAATGCCCTTGACTATGAAACCTGCCTCATTACTCCCAGAAGGAAATTGTAATACAAAGTTACAGCTTTAAAACCAACGCAGAATAGCCTTTTGCTAGCTGTAGCATGGCCTTTCGGTCCTGAACTAGAAACGATTATTAATCCTGAAGCTTTACCTGGCAGATCTCTAAATTAGTGGCCACAGTCAGGCCTGTCTCCAGCAGGTGATAAAAGATTTTACCCTCTCAGGGGTCTCTAAGTGCCAGAGTGAAAAATAGGTTCTCCTCACCAATGCCTTGAAGCTCTGATCTAATTTGTGTTTTGACAGCATTTTATATCCTCAAAAATAAAGTATGTAAGCCACCTCAGGGTAATGTAGGTGGAATTAAACACAGTATATACGGAAAAATGTGCCAGCACTACCCCTCCCAGTTCATTGAGTTGCTGGTTAAAGTTTTATTTTAAGCCTTTTCATGTGTAGAAACCTACTCACTTCATTGTCATAGAATGAATCATCACTGACTAATATCCAAGACTGAAGTTAAATTGAGCAGGATAAATTTTTTTTAAAAGATTTATTTTAGTTGGACAGGATAATGAAGGAGATACAGCTTCAGAGGTATCCAGGTCATGCACACTGGGTTAAGACTGTTCCACCCCAGGCATCCATAACTCTTCAGGATGGGAGGGACAGATCACATTTCTCTTAAAAAACAGTCATTCTAACAAAAGGTATACATGCCTATGCTTCTCAGTTGCTATGGATTTGAAGAAGTTAGCAAAAAGGAAGTGGTTAAGGTAAAACATGAGCTATTCAGCTATCCTGGATTCATCCAGGGAGCTTATTGTTGATCTAGCAGGTAATGAAGGTATTTGCTTAATGAAATGCTTATTTGTTTAAATCATGCTGTTAACTGATGTGAGATTTAACAATGTTATAGCAATAATGTTGTGGGGAGGGAGGTTTTTCTTGATGGTACTTGCTCTGCTTACCCAATTTCAGGATCTATGGACGAAGTGTTGGCTTCCTTAAGGCATGGCAAAGCCCCTCTCCAGAAGGTAGAAGTGCCAGCAGTGCGCCCTCCCCACGCCTCAGTCAATGAGCACATTCTGGCTGCCATAAGGCAAGGGGTCAAACTGAAGAAAGTTCACCCGGACCTTGGCCCAAGCCCCAGCAGCAGACACACCAGTGACCTTGAGAGGAGTATCAAGGCTGCACTCCAGAGAATCAAGAGGGTGTCTGCTGACTCAGAGGAAGACAGTGATGAGCAGGACGCCGGCCAGTGGGACCGTTAAGCCAAGTTTGACAAAGGTACCTACCCTGGTGGGCTTGAATGAAGTGGGTGGGGCTAAGACCTGTTGAAAAGCACTTGAACAGGGTGCTGGTAGATGGTCCATATGACACCTCCGACGATCAGCAGGGCATTGTGTGGGACCCTGCAGCTTTTATGTGACACGATGACTCTTAAAACTGGGGAGGGGCCAGGCGCCTGTGGCTTACGCCTGTAATCCCAGCACTTTGGGAGGGTGAGGCGGGCAGATCACAAGGTCAAGAGATTGAGACCATTCTGGCCAACATGGGAAACACTGTCTACTAAAAATACAAAAAATTAGCTGGGTGTGGTGGTGCGCACCTGTAGTCCCAGCTACTCAGGAGGCTGAAGCAGGAGAATCGCTTGAACTTGGGAGGCAGAGGTTGCAGGGAGCTGAGATTGTGCCACTGCAGTCTACCCTGGTGACAGAGCAAGACTGTCTCAAAAAAAAAAATAAATAAACTGGGGAGGGAAGTAGACTTGAGATTTTCACCCACCAGTCCATATGTGGAATGTCAAGACCTGTGAGAAGTGTCACTGTCCTAAAAGAAGAGCACTTATTTCTTACCTTCATTGGTGATCCAAAGTTGTTCCCTGATTCTGAAAGCAGTTTACGCTACCCTGGTAAACAGCACTATTAGACTACTGACTGTGGCCTGTGTATATGTAATAGTGATTCCTCAGCTTTATAGATATGAATGTAAATGTTATTTTAGCAATAATCTGAAAAATCACTTATATTCAGGAGTTATTTTAAATATTTAAATGAAATTTATTTTATGTACCAAGCACTACATAAACTCATAATAAAGAACTATTTACAGTGTATTAGCATCACTCATGGTGAAATGAAAACATACCTTAGCTGCTGTACAAGCAAAGCCTTCTGTACCTGGGTGGGCTTAAAAATTTTTAATAAGGTTTCAGCTAAACACTTGTTTAAATGAATACTAAGGGTAGAGGAATAGTGTTATTTTCCTCAGGAACTGAAGTCTCATGCCGACATATTTTTTCAAATTTTTAAAATCAGAAAAGGGGAAGGGACCGATGCAATCTATCCCATTCATCTCTCAGACTGTGCAAGCATCCCCACTAACCTTGTCACCCTCACTCTTGTGATGTTAATCCTGGATTTCCACAGAACAAAAGGAATTCACCTTATTTCCAAAGAAAGTCCTGCCATAGAACCGAAATCTTGGTATGTCTGGTTTTTGTTTTTGTTTTTGTTTTTGTTTTTTTTTGAGACGGAGTCTCGCTCTGTCACCAGGCTGGAGTACAGTGGCATGATCTTGGCTTACTGCAACCTCCGCCTCCTGGGTTCAAGCGATTCTCCTGCCTCAACCTCCTGAGTAGCTGGGACTAGAGGCGTGTGCCACCAAGCTCAACTAATTTTTGTATTTTTGGTGGAGACGGGTTTTAACCATGTTGGCCAGGATGATCTCAATCTCTTGACCTCATGATCTGCCTGCCTTAGCTTCCCAAAGTGCTGGGATTACAGGCATGGGCCACTGTGCCCGGCCTTCAGTGTTTTAACTCTCATACAGCAGCCTGAGGGGCCTCAGCCGCCACAGCTGGGAGGGGCATGGGTTCCTTTCAGCAACTGCACCTGGGCCTGCCTTCATGGCGTGGCCACTGCCAGGTTGCCCACAGGTCTGTCACGTGTGCTACCTTTTCAGAATGCAAATCCAACTCCTGTGCCTCACTGTGGTGGCCTGGGCCTGATAGGCCAAGCCCTAACCCTACACTGGCCCCTGTACCTGTCGCTCCCATGTGGTTCCCAGGGGTGTTCCAGTGGGGGCCGCAACCTGCTGGCTACTCGCTGGGCATCAGGTCCAGATCCCAGGCTTCCTTCCCCACCACAGACAGGCCAGGCTCTGGAATTGAAAAAGTGGCAAAATCAGAACTTTGTGGGACTTTCCTTTTGCCTATTTTGCAGTTTGGTATTGTTTGTAATTACATATTTATAATTTCAGTATTTTGAGATGCCAGCAAGCTTAATCAGGCTGGAATAATACTCAAGTTGGTTTCTAACTGCTGGCAAAGACGAGGGGCCTTTGAAAAAAAGGATCCTTTTCAAAAGAGCATTCTCACAGTAAAAGTTCCTGGCCTAATTGCGTCTTTTGTGCATCAACACTTCTCTTCCTCATCTGGAACCCCCTCTCTCCTTTCTCCCTTTCCCTACTTCCAGCCAAGCCTTGAAGTAAATCCAGACTTTGGTTTCAGGGAATTTAGAGCCAAGAAAGTAAGGCCTGCCCAGCTTCAGAGCTCTCCAATCTGGCCTCTGAAGCACTGCCAATCTTCACCTCTCCCTGGCTTTCCAGCCCACATGGTAAGGGCAGCCCCTCAGCCTGGCAGATAAAACCCTCAGAGACCTGGCCACTTTCCCTGGACAGCCCCTGCTGCTCCCACAGGTTTTAGTACAGCAATGCTATGCTGCTTCCTGCCTGCCTGCCCACCAAGGGCCTGGAATTCTCCCTCTACCCTCCATGTCCTGGCAAACCCATGCCCATCTTTAGGTCTCAACCTCACAGCTTCTTCCCCCAGTTCTTCTCTGACCTCTCTCTCCTATAAAGCCATATACCTTGTCTTGGAGTCTGGCCTGGCCAGAGGAGGACTGGCATCTGCTCCTAGCACAGCCAAGCCAATGGATTGTCCTGGAGTGAAAAGCAATGAGCTGGACCAATCATACCTGTGTATTCATCTGTTCGTCCCTTCCATCTTCAGAATTTGAACGAGTGAATCAAGCCGGTGGTAGTAGCAGCCAGAATGAAGAGGTCATTGGTTAAAGGCCACATGGCATGTGAAACCCACATAGTTGAGTGGATTTATGGGGCAGAGGCTCTCAGACCACAGGGTATATAAAAGTATGTGAGAGTGCACTGGTTTTCTACTGCTGCCATACAAGTCACAAAAGTCGCTGCTTAAAACACAAATTAACAGTTCTGTAGGTCAGAAGTCTGACACGGATCTCACTGGGCTAAAATCAAGGTGTTGACAGGGCTGTGTTCTCTTCTAAAGGCTCTGGGGAGCAACAGTTTCCTTGCCCTTTCTGGTTTCTAGAGCTTGCCCCTGTTCCTTGGCTTGTGGCCCCCTCCTCCACCTTCAGTGCCAGCAGCATCGTATCTCTCTGACCCTTCTTCCATCATCACAGCTTTTTCTGACACAAGAAAAGGTTCTCTGCTGCTGAGAACTTGTGTGATTAGACTGGGCCTACCCAGATGATCCAGTATAATCTCCCTGTGTGAAGGGCCGTTTTGCCAAGTATGGTAACACAGTCACAGGTTCCTGGGATTAGGATGTGGACATCTTTGGGGGCGATTATTCTGTCTAGTAAATGGAGCTTTCTAGAATGATGATTTCCAGGTCCACAATGCAAGGATCCTCATCTACGAAGTCTTCCTGGGATGGTCCAGCAACACAAATAGCTCTGAAGCAGCTAGTCTGCAGATTTTCCTTAGAAAAATGCTACTATAAAAGTCAGAGGACCTGAGTGGGCTGGTGACGCAGGAACAGCAAAGTAGGCACATTCAGAGCCACTGTGGGCTCCTCCTGGGGTCAGCAATCCTGAAGCCTGGTGTTCATGAGGTCTTCAGAATGGCTCGGGTCATTCCTAGATCTGGAGAAGCAGGGTGAGTGCTGGCCCCTGACCTCAGCCGCCTGTGAGAGCTCTGCCTTGCAGGGGAGCCTTACAAATTCCCCATCAGCTGAGTTCCATGAATGTCTGCAGCGGAACAGCTCGCCCCTCCACTGGAACAGAGCGGATCTGGGGAAAGTAAGTCTCTTCACTATGGTGTTTCCCAGGGCCTGAGCATACAGATCACAATATTTGCTAAATGAAAACATGAATGAATGAATAAGACCTATAAATATGAAAAAGGTGATGGAAGAGGCACAAGTCCCCCTCCCTGGTAGTGGAGGCACACTCAGAAAACCCAAAGCCTAGTGGCCGCAGTCCGCACCACCACTCTTGCTTTGGCTCAGCAGTAGCCCATGGGGACATCAGCCTACTTAGGGAGGACACGAACTTCCAAAGTATCTTGTTAAGATACAAAGGACTCCTGAAATATTTCTGTTGACTTAAAGACAGACACAAATATTTTACTGAACTATGTATTTCTACAGAAACAACTGTTACAACAAAATCAGGTAAAATTCACAAAGGTCTACAAGTCTTTAAAGGAAAATATTTTTTCCCTTAAATATAAAAAGTTCATTTGCCAAATAACATCAGAAACAAACCAAAAAACTGTTAGAAACACAATAGACAGAAATACAATAATAGGAGACTAACATATCTTTCTTAGTCTTAACAAATCATTTAAATTAAAATTAAAGGTCCATAAATTATAAGGTCAAATGAATATATCTGAATTTTGTTCCCTTCAGAGAACACATTTTCTTCAGTTTCCTGGGGATATATATTAAAACAAAAAATTTATTAGGTCTCAAGAAAACATCCACCATGATCTCCAAAATGCACAAACTGTACAAGCCATACCCTCTTTGACAACAAGGCAATAAAACCAGAAGTCTGTAAGAAAAGCTAAAAACAACAACAAAATAAACTACCTGGAAATTTAAAAGAATAACTTCAAAAGACTCCAGTAAAAAACAGTCAAATCTGAAATTATAAATTATTTATAACTTAGAACGCCAAATATAAATTTAAGGGAGATTGATAAAGATATATTCAGAAGAAAAGTCACAACTTATAAGTCACAACTTATAATGTTAGTAACCATGACTTTTATTAAGGAAGAAAAATTTAAAATGGCATTCAACTTGAGAAGGTGAGAAATAAAAACAAAACAAAAATAATCATGAAATAATAAAACAGTAAATTAAGATATAAATCTCAGAGACGGTCATTTGAAAAGATCAATGAAACAGACTAACTCTGGAAAAACCAATGAGAACAAAAAGGGAAAGCACACACAATATGGGAATGAGGAAGCAGAATAACAGAGCTCCAGGCCAACAAATCTGAAAATCATAAAAATCATTATTTAGGAAAATTTACTTAATTAAAAACTTTTTTTTTTTTTTTTGAGAAAGGGTCTTGCTCTGTATCCCAGGCATGCTCATGGCTCAGTGCAGCTTCAGCATCCTGGGCTCAAGTGATCCTCCTGCTTCAGCCTCCTGAGTAGCAGGGACCACAGGCACATACCAACATGCCTAGCTGGGTTTTAGTACAGTCAGGGTCTCACTATGTTGCCCAGCCTGATTGTGCACTCCTGAGCTCAAGCAATCCTCCTGCCTCAGCCTCCTGAAGTGCTGGGATTACAGACACGAGCCACCACACTCAGCCGGGAAAATTTCAATTGCCAAAAAACAGAAAGGAAGTTTAAAGAAACCAATGAGCATGAAAAAAAAATTTCCTAAAAAGGCACTAGAGTTGGACAGTTTTATATGTTATAAAAACTTCAAAGAGCAAAACATTCTAAATATTTAAATGTTTCCAGGGCATAGAAAAAGAGCGCTTCCCAAGTTCTTTTTAATTTTTAAATAAGTTAACACCAATAACTGATGAAGACAGCAGAAAAAAATTATACAATTATTCCTATTTAGGTATGAAAAACTTCTTAATAAAATGAGCAAACCAAATCCAGAAGAATTTTGCATTTTAAAGTTCTTATTTTTATTATACAAGTAATACATGATCTTAGTAGAAAAATCAGAAAGTACAGATAAGAAACACAAAATAAAAACCTACTATGGACCAACCAATCATAAATAACCACTGTTAACACTGAAAGGAGATGTATATTAAAAGAATAATATACTATGATTATATCAGGTGTTTGTAGAAACGCAAAGATGTCTTAACATTAGCAAATCTATTAAAATGATTCAAGTCATAATAGAGAAAAACCATTTGATCATCTTGACAGATGTGGAAAAAAGCCATTTAACAAAACCCCAACATCCATTACTATTTTCATCAAACTAGAAATAGAGGGCATAACCTTAATGTATAATTCAAATATTAAGATTATCTTACACTAAGAGTCAAATTTATAGTTTTGGAGAAGCATTCTTCTCACTAAAAAAAAAAAATATATATATATATATGTATAAAAGAATGGACAATATCAGCACAATTATCTAAGTGTTAACATTGTTCTAAAAGTATTGGTCAATGTGATGAATTGAGAAAGTGAAGTAAGATTAAAAATATGGGAATAAAATTATCATCTTACCCAGAATTATTACCCAACTGAAAAAGGCAAAAAAATCAACAGCAGCAAAACCTTTAGCATAATTCAGTAATTGGCCAGTTACAAAATAAATAACCAATCACCAAGTACAACCACACACTACTCTCTTATGCAGAGGTAAGAATGAGGTAGATTGATGTGTACTGACACAGGAAGATCTATTGCAAAGAGAAAATGCTAATAATAGCAGAAGTGTTGTCTTATATGGTCAAAGTGCTAAAACATACTTTAGGAAACAACTGATGAATATGCATCAACTGTTGACTGTTTATCTTGGGAAAAAGGGATTTTAATTATGGGGGACTTTAATTTTCTACATTATGTTTTTTTAATAATGTCTACATTTATGTAAGTTTTATCCAATGTTTTTAAGTCATAGATTTAATTTTCATTTTTAAAAGTAGTGGGAAAAGATCTCATTTACAATAGTAATCACACTACAAAGATTACCTATACTAGAAAAGTTCGGCTGAGAGACATAAAATATTATAAATTTACTGAAACGAAAGGTTAAATATTATAAAGATGTTAGTCCTCTTGTGTAAAACATGTTAATTTTATGCAATTTCTAGTTCTTCTAAACATCACAAAATTATCTCAAATTTCTTTTGGAATTTTTTTTTTTTTTTTTTTTTTTTTTTTTTTTTTTGAGACAGTCTTGCTTTGTTGTCCAGGCTGGAGCACAGTGCCACGATCTTGGCTCACTGTAACCTCCGCCTCCTGGGTTCACTGCCTCAGCCTCCCAAGTAGTTGGGTTTACAGGCGCCCTCTGTCACACCCAGCTTTTTTTTTTTTTTTTTTTTTTTTTTTTGGTATTTTTAGTAGAGATGTGGTTTTGCCATATTGGCCAGACTGGTCTTGAACACCTGACCTCAGATGATCCACTCAACTCAGCCTCCCAAAGTGTTGGGATTACAGGCATGAACCACTGCGCCCAGCATGCACAATATATTAGGCAAGTTTTGAAAAAGTTTAATGGGAATGTTTAGTCCAAAGCTATGGCGATCCAAACAATGTGGTACCGTACTAGAAAGTGCAGGTAAAAATGAGCCACAGTAAAGTTCACAGCACACTCAAGGCCAGGGTGCTTATCCTGGCACCCAACAGAAGGGCTGGGTATACGGTACTGATAGGATTTCATCTAGAGTACAGAAAGGATAGACTTCCCAATGAACAGTGATGGGGTAATTTAGAAAATATAGTGCAGATAGATTAGAGAGTTTATTTTTTTAGAGACAGGGTCTTGCTCTGTCTCCAGGCTGGAGTGCAACAGCACAATCAAAGCTCAGAGTAACTTCAAACACCTGGACTCAAGTGACCCTCCCACCCTGGCCACCCAAAGTCTTGGGATTACAGGTATGAGCCACCATGCCCAGCCAGATCAGAGATGTAACCGCTTAGAAAGAAATAATAAAAGTGCAAAAATGAGATAGTGAATATACATTCTTGCAATCAGAATTGGAAAGACCTTGCCAGGCATGGTGGCTCATGCCTGTAATCCCAGCACTTTGGGAAGCCAAGGTGTGCAGACTGCCTGCGCCTAGGAGTTCGAGATGAGCCTGGGCAACATGGCGAAACCCATCTCTACTAAAAATACAAAAAGTTAGCCGGGAGTGGTGGCACACATTTGTAGTCCCAGCTACTCGGAAGGTTGAGAAATGAGAATCACTTGAACCTGGGAGGCTCAGTTTGCAGTGAGCCGAGATTGTACCACTGCACTCCAGCCTGGGGGACAGAGTAGACCCAGTCTCCAAAAAAAAAAAAAAAAAAAATTAGAAAGGTCTTCATAAGCATGAAAACATAAGTAGCAACCATTTAAAAAAAAAAAAAGTAACGGCCGGGCGCGGTGGCTCAAGCCCGTAATCCCAGCACTTTGGGAGGCCGAGGCGGGTGGATCACGAGGTCAAGAAATCGAGACCATCCTGGTCAACATGGTGAAACCCCGTCCCTACTAAAAATACAAAAAATTAGCCGGGCATGGTGGCGCATGCCTGTAATCCCAGCTACTCGGGAGGCTGAGGCAGGAGAATTGCCTGAACCCGGGAGGCGGAGGTTGCGGTGAGCCGAGATCAGGCCATTGCACTCCAGCCTGGGTAACAAGAGCGAAACTCCGTCTCAAAAAAAAAAAAAAAGTAACAAACTTGACTAAGATTTAAAAAATGTCTAAACATTATTAAAAAGCCATACATGCAACTTAAAATTTCATTTTATAATGTTTATGAAGTAAGCCTCTTAGAAATCAATGATACTACTGAACATCTTAGAGGGTTACATTTGAACAAAAAAAATATATTATTTTTAGCTCTCTGACCCCAGGGTAACTCCATGTTAAAGAGGAAGCAGTACACACTCATGCACTGTGGGTGGGAATATAATTTGGGACTGTTTCTGGAAGGCAATTTGAGGCAACACATATTAGAGTCCTAAAAATGTGCATACTTTTTTATCGTTAGGACAGGATATGTTGTGCTGCAGTTAACCAGCTAACTCTGAAATCCCAGTGGCTAACGCCTAAGGTTTAGTTTTTATTCATGCTACGTGTCCATGCGGGGTGGTAGGTGAGGGTGACATGAAGGGAGAAGGGAGCTGCTCCATGTAGTCACTCAGGGATCCAGGCCTGACAGAGGCTCTGTCCCTGGGACATCAGCATTTGCTGGGGCAAGGGAAGACAGACACTGTGGAACTACCCATGGGCATTTCAGTCTCTGCCTGGAGCTTCATATGTCACCTCTGCTCACATTTAATTGGCCAGAATTAGTCATAGGACTCTGAATGAGAACGAGGGGGCTGGAGGGTGAAGTCCTGTATGCCCCAGAAGGAAAGGAGTTGCTGATAGAGAGGTGCGTACTTTTGAGCCAGTAATAACTCCAGAAAATTATCCTAAGTCATTATTCTGCAAAATTCACAAAGATGTCAGAACTTCATTATGTTCTTGATTACAACAGCAAAAAATTGGAAACAACCTCAGAATTCAAGGTACAACCTACATAGAGGTTAAAAATAATGTCATTACATGTTTACTGATATAGAAATCTATTCACAATATAACATTAAAAGGGATAAAAGTCATAAAACATTATGTATAATATGATTATATTCCATGAAAAAGTAATAAAACACATACAGATGCATAGAAAAAAGTGTGAAAAGATAAAAACAGAAATGCTAACAGTGGTTATAATTAGATGGTGCAATAACAGGTGATTTTTCTCACTTATCTGGAATTTCTTTGTAAAAAAAAAGTATTTATGTACCAAAAAAGCATTTAAAAAGGGAAACACACAGTACTTGTGGGAGGGTTCACTTATCTACTCCACTCTTATATTAAACTCTTACATTTGATGCAAGGAATGTCTTCTTTCCTGTCACATCAGAAGACACTGCTCTCACAATTGATGTAAAGTCAGGACTTGCTATGAAAAGCAGTACAAGAAGGTAAAACAGTAACACAGCCCCACAGCTGTGGATCATCAGTCCTGCCCATCACTTGCCAAAACACACACCACTTGGGACTCCGCCATAGTTTGTCAGCTCCTGCCAGGTGCCCTTGGGGGTCTCCGGGGCCTGGGAGACCACTTTGCCACAAGGCTCTGCAGAGAGTAGGGCACTGTACAATTCCACTTCCAACAGAAGACCCACAAACTCTTCTGGTAAATGGATTCCAGAAATTAGACCACCACCACCAGAAACAGTAAAATAAAATCTCCTTTTAGGTGTACATACTTTTAATAAAAACTCTTCCTTATTGTTTCTCCCACCTCCCCTTTTGCTGTTCACACACACACACACACACACACACACGCATGCACACGCATGCACCCAGTCCTAAGCTCACTAGAACATTTCGTCCATCTCAAAAATCTTACCAAAGCCACCTTCCTGCCTGAGTAGCATTTAAAGGCAAACTAGAAAACCCATATTCTTGAGACAGTTGCATGAAAGAGACATGTAAGTAACACACATTTCTAGACTAGACAGGAATCCCTCTCCATGCCAAAACCCCCACCATCTCCAAAATATGTACAATATCTTTGGGGAAGCCATGTACTCAGAAATTAGGGTCCTTTTAAACCATGCATATCATTTAAAAACATATATGGACATTGATCCTGCAAGCTTCTAGTTTGCAAGTGCTTCAAAATCTAGTGACAAGGCAACAAAAGAATTTAACTTCCAGAAAGACTAATGGAACAAACAATCCACTTCTGGATATGAGCAAAGACCAGCAGCTGGCTCCCTTTTTTTTTGAGGTGGAGTCTAGCTCTGTTGCCAAAGCTGGAGTACAGTGGCACGATCTCAGCTCACTGCAACCTCCGCCTCCCAGGTTCAAGTGATTCTCCTGCCTCAGCCTCCTGAGTAGCTGGGATTATAGGCACTTACTACCACCCCCAGCTAATTTTTGAATTTTTTTTAGTAGAGACGAGGTTTCACCATGTTGGCCAGGCTGGTCTGGAACTCCTGACCTCATGATCTGCCTGCCTCGACCTCCCAAAGTGCTGGGATTACAAGTGTGAGCCACCGCGCCCAGCCCTGGTTCCCTCTTTCCAGTCCCTGTGCTAAGTCACATCACTGCTGCCTTCCTCCCAAAGGTGCACCTGGCCATATGTGAGATCTCATCATAAGGTCCCCAGCACATCCTGTGGTTGGCTCTCATCCAAAATTGTTCCTGGTTTCTACAGAGGAGGAGATGTTTCTAAAGAAAAAGAGCCCTGTTAAAATAGGCAGATCATAGCTGGCGCAGTGGCTTACACCTGTACTTTGGGAGGCTGAGGCAGGCAGATTACCTGAGGTCGGGAGTTCGAGACCAGCCTGACCAACATGGAGAAACTCCGTCTCTACTAAAAATACAAAATTAGCTGGGCATGATGGTGCACGCCTGTAGTCCCAGCTACTTGGGAGGCTGAGGCAGGAGAATTGCTTGAACCTGGGAGGCGGAAGTTGTGGTGAGCAGAGATCGCGCCACTGCACACTCCAGCCTGGGCAACAAGAGCGAAACTCCATCTCAAAAAAAAAAAAAAAAAACAGGCAGATCATGATAGTTTTGGGAGGCACATTCACTGTATTATGCTCCACCCTTTACTTGATGTTTTGTATCAAATGCAGTCCACAGCAGGCAGGCGCCTGCCCACCATCACCATGAACTGTGCTCACGGAGCCCGCAGGCTGGAGACCAATGGCCCTCTGTGCACAGTCTTCCTGGGTATTGATCAGGTCCCATTCATGCTGCTCCCCCGACTGAGCAAGGCTGCTCCCTCCCCGGAAAGCCAGAAAGGAGCGCATCTCTGGGAAGGGGCAGGCAGTGGAGAGGCCACTTCCAACTAGAACTCTGTTCTGTTTCCATTCCTGCGATCTCAAGGTCTCCCTCTTGTTTTAAACATACTGCTCTGCCTCCACTGAAGCCAGTAAAGACCTCGGGGTGTGTTTGTTTTCTATAGAACTGGCCTCACAGGCATGGACACCATTTTAACCAACTTTCTTAGAATGATTCCTGCAAAACCAGAATCATTTCAAAGTGGAACTCTGTTACTGTTTATAACAAACATTCCTAAATGTCATTCTGATTCATACCTTTGTAAACTGTCCTTTGCTGTGGGCACATATTAAAATAATATAATTGCAATGTGCTCTTATCAGGATATAATTATTTTCTCTTGGCATTCATGGGTCACCAAAGGGACAAGAGTGGCATGGCTCAAAAGGTACTGTACTAAGGTCCAGGAGACCTGGATGCAGAGTCCACGCTGCTGGTCACCGCAGGGTGACCCTGGACATGTCACTTTCTGTCTCTACTTCCCATCTGCAAAACGAGGGGACAGTCTCTGCCCTGTTCTCTAACCCAATTAAAGCCTTAATATGATGGCAGGCAGGACAGATGAAACTGAGGAGCCACAGGAATTTGACATCTTGTGTGGATACTGGTCCTTTCCCTCCAAGGCCTGACCACACTGTCCCAACCTGTCTCTCTGGTGGTTTTACATTCCCCAGGCAGCACTAGGGAGGCTTCCTTGCCACTCCCAAGACCCGTATCCAGTTGGGTCTTGACTGGAATGAAAAGTAATTTTTAAAGATCCTCTTGATTAAAGAGTTCCAAGTTTTGTTGACTTCATTTAGACACCAGGTTTCATGGGGGCAGAAGGAAAGCTTATCACGGTACAGCAGCCAGTCTTGGAAATGCCAAAATCAGGAGACCTCATCTGCAAACTGAAAGTGCAGACCTGGCCCTGCACCTTCCAAGAGCACAGGCGGCTGCGATGCTCACCAGTGAGCAGCTTAGGTTCTGCCTGCATCTGGTGTAAGGTTAGGACAACAGTACTGAGACTGGGCTGGATGCCAGAATAAACGAGGGCACGTCACAGCAGCCCACGGGAACACCGTCCAGGTTGCTCCAGGGCCATTAATTTAAAAGAAAGTAAATGAAGAGACACTAAGATCTTTAGAGGAAAGCAGAAGGAATGGAAACTTCAGTGCTCTGTAAAAGCTGTTGTGCTTTCACAGCCAAGCCCAACTTCCCTTTAAAGGGGTCCCTACTATTCTTAGCTCCGGGGCTGCAACAGCTATAGAGCCAGACACACAGCAGGAGGAATCAAGTTCCTCACCTGCTGCCCACAGGGGGCTCCCCACAGGGGGCTCCCCACACACTTCAGTGGTTGGTGAGCTGGGATCATAGGTCTTGACTGCACAGCAGCCCACTGTGGAAATGGCTCTTCCAACCTTTTCTACACCTCCACTTCTGGAGTTTTCTGAAGTCACTGCTAGCAGAATGCCCAAGTGGCTTTAGTAACTATGCTATGTATACGCCACCTAAGCATGGTCTTGTCAGTCAAGAGGGCTCTTCCTAGATTCTTAAGTCACCTGATACACAGACAGAGGTCATCTGAAGACCCAAGTGGGGGGATTTCGGAACCCAGTGTCCACTGCTCCCAGGCAGCCACACACCCAGCCTGCTGCTGGGTGGACCAGGCTGGCTTGAGAATTCCTATCCCGCTGCTGGCCCAGGAGGCCGACTTATAGCCAGCTCTGCTCTCTGGTCTCCTGGTGCAGCCAGCAGGAAGCTGCTACCGACTGTCCTGAGAGCCATCTGGAGCTCTGGGGAAAGGGCAGGGCCAGCAGCAGCCTAGGCCGAATCACAAAGAGGTCTGGCCACACTTTCTACTTCCTGTCTGCCAAGAGCCCTGTGTACTCAACCAAAGCCCCCATTCACCCTGTGGGGGCTTCTCTAAAGTGCCTTGGTGCCCCAGGTCCCTGGCCTTCCCTTGTCTGCATCCCACACAAGACTCTCCAGCTCAGAGAGGCATCTCACTGAGGGGAAGGGAAGGAGAGCAGGAGGACTCATGCATTCACCTGGGGGCCCAGGGCACCTGCGAGGGGACCCTATCTCCCTCCCTCCTTGGGTTGTTTGCTCATTAATACAAATTCAGCAGGGAGAAACTCTGCGTCCACGGGAGGTTTCTAGAGGGAGTAGTTCTCTTAGGCGGTTCTCAAAGGGATAAGGGGGCACCAAAGCCTCCCCCCTGCCCAAGGCATTTAGGGATCTGTGGGGCCAGGGATTCAAAACATCTTGCCACACGTGGGCGACCTCCCAGGGTAGGATGCCAACAGCACCCACGGGCCCACTGGCCCCACTGAGCAGCTCTGTCAGACAGGGGAGGTTTATGGCTGCAGTCCCTTCCCTAGAAGAAGCTGAGAAAGGCAGGGGGAAAAGGTGGGTGGAAACCTCTGTTGCAAGGGCTGAGGCTCTCCCTGCGTGATTGTCTGCAATTTCTTTTCAATTGTCCAGACCCATAAGAGAATCTCACCCTAGATCCCAAGCCCTGGGCAGCCCTTATACCTGGAATTTCCAGGCCACAGCCCCCATTCCTGGGGGAAAAGGCAATTCGAGGGTCGGAGAGCCCCAGAGCAGAGCATCACGGATGGGCTCCAGGGGACCTCAGACCAGCTCCTGCTGGTTCTCCTTCTCCCTCCCTGCCCCAGGGCCACCCGAGCCCCAGCTTGGTTTTGACCACACAGTGACATTCATGTCTGATAACTACCCAGCACAGCAAAGATGGTGCATCATTCAACAGGGTCCCAGCTATGCTGTGGGGTTTGATTAAAACACTAAATTCTGTGTACATGTTTAATTGAACAGATATTTATTAAGCACCTACTTTGTGCCAGGCATTGTGCAAGGCACCCTCACTGTGTGCTGTTCGCACAGCACAATCATCTGCTCAGAAATTAAAACCAAGAAAAGGAACACTGTCGCAACCATACAAACTGGGGGTAGGGGCCAGTATCGCAGAGGCAGGCGGTTCCCGGGCCAAAAAATGCACTCACCGGGAGCTTGTTTTCCATCTCTCAATAAGCCTCCACTAAACAGTAGTTTCAAAGCCTCTCGATGTTGATGGAGAGGAATGTTGTTCTCTCTGTGCCCCCCGGGGCTGGTGCCTGGTGGACATTCAAATACTCTGAATGCTATTCAATAAAAGGAGCCTGATGGCCTGGTGTCAAGAATATCAGTATTTGGATTAGAAAATGTGTTTTTTCAGTTCATATGGTTGCAACAGCCCTTATGAAAGATATAAACATCCCTGCCCTAACTGCATAAATGTTTAAGGTAGACCTAGTTCTGGATTCCTGAGTCAGAATCTTCCAGTTGTCCACAACCTCACAAGGCCAGAGAAGTGAGAGGAGATTTCTATCCTGGAAAGGAGTGAGTGGACGGCACAACTGGTTTGGAAACACGACAAACTGTGCCTGCATTTACAGAAGCAACGCACATAGGAGAACATTCTAGAGCTATCTGGTCTCGCACACACACTTGGGACTCACAGGCGGGGCCCGGGCCTCGGCCAGCCCTAGTTATCGGTGCCTAGCTTGGAGAGGCCTCGGCGGAAGTCGTGCAAGTCGTCAATCTTCCCATCCAGCACCTCCAGGAAGCTCTTCAACTCCACCTTCAGGTGGCGCTGTCGATATTTGCTCTCCTCAATGTCTGTCTTTAAGGAACGCACTTTGTCTTCCAGGTTTTGATTGTCTCTCTCTGCTGCCTGGCAAAGCAAAAGGGAGAAAGGTCTGGAAAACTGAGTGACAAGAGTCATTCTTCTAACCCTGCCACAGCTGAAACAAACATTCTCCATCCCACCTGAGGGCCTGGGCCAGGGCCTAAGCTCCCTAGAGCATGCTAAGCCCCCAGCACACATGTGACCATGACCTCAGAAGGGAAGCGGCAGGCACTTCAGTGACCTCCTCCTTTCCTGTCTGCTCTCCTGCAGAGGGGCCAACACCTGGCCCAAAGACCCAAGACCCAACAAAGCAGGCAGAATGCAGCAGGGAAAGTCTGAAATCCCCGTCCAAGTGGCTAGCAGAGACCACATTTCAGTTCCATCCTGAGACAGAACAGATGGGAGAGTGGCTTGTTACCCTGGTCCCACAGAGGCGTGGCCTCCTCAGCCAGGAAGGACTGGCCGTGCCAGTGACTCAAAGACAGCCAGTCTGTGCACCCTCTGATGCTGTTACCATGGAGACTGTGGTGCTGGGCCCCACAAGCCTATAGAGCCACATCTAGGTAAATCACACACAGGTTCTCAAAGACAGGACAGCTGTGAATCTTAACAGTAAGTCTTGCATTCTTCATATCAAATAAGAGCTTTATGTTGAGGGCATACATGGAGACTTTTCTGAACATGTGTACAGGAACCAGTTACCAATCCCAGGGTTGTTAATTACACGAAGCACATGTGTATTTCAGAGGGCCTGCAGGGAAGAGACTCTCTGAGGTGGAGGAGGATCTGAAAATCCTCATTTTAGGAATCAGAAATCTGAGACTAGAGAGGAAGGCCTGCCCAAGGTCAGTGCGCAAGGTCACTGGCAGGGGAGTGACTGAGGTGGCCCCACACCCTGACCCTGGGCTCTCAGGCCACCCCCTCCCCGCTCCTCACCCCCACCCGGGTTCTGCAAGGAAACAGTCAATACCACGGTGATGCATAGAAACCCTCGTAGAACTGGAAAAACCAAAAGACCAGTGCTGCCAAGTCTGCCCCGGGGGCAGGGGTGGATGCGTTGCCATCTGGTGTGCAGTT